CGGAAAAAGACAGTGCCGTCCCTGCCGACGAAGAACAAAAAATAAAATGGCAAAAGGTGCAGATCACCCCCTCAACTCAACTATTGGTGGCAAATCACCCCCTCAACCCACTTCACTCGCAAATCACCCCCTCTGTTAACATCGGCACCATCCTTCCGTTAGCTTTCATCCGAACCCATGATTTCTTCTCGCAGTCCATTCAGTAAATATAACAAGCACTAAGTAAACATTGTTTCTTCACCCCCATCAACAGATCACCCTTCACCTCCACCAAGTAATAGCATTGGCATCCCTCTTTGATTGGTTCTACACTCAGTTTCACTGCTTTCTGAAAGTTGTTGACGGTAGGTTGAATAACCCATATGTAACCGTAAAAATCAATGGCGTAGAAGTCACCCTTGTAGAATATTGCATCGGAACATCGTCCCACGAAGTTGTTTATTCTGATCCATGCATGATCCCCTGTTCTGCAAAAGGAAAAACTGTGTCCGTGTTTACCGGGATGGATGGCCAGGACTTTGCAGAGAGGATCCCTCGGAATGGTGGAGGTGATCACCCTCGTAAACTCCGGCTTCTTGGAACTCATCCGACAGATTTCTAGCCTCCTGAATCGTTTCTCAGGAGGAAGCTTAACGGTGGCGCTGGTGATGGGATTTAAAAGATGAATGGCTTGATTGGCAACGATGAGAAGACAGCCATGAGAGGATGCAGTATACCATCCTCCCTGGAGTTGTGGTAGAAAAATCCTTTGGATTTTGTGGGAGCAATAGTTGTAGATCCGACAACATTGCCGGCCTGTTTGATTCTCCGGCAGAAGCAATGCTAATAGAGCGTTGGATTTGAGTCCGGGATAGCGTAAATAGAGTAATCGAGCGGCATATTGCCAGGAGACACAGACCACGTGGAGAGCCAGCTTGAAGATGACTTCTGGGTCGATGGTACTCGACGACATCGATGGAGGAAGGGCTTATGAGCGAACTGTTAAAAGTTAACAGAAGGATGGTGCCGGTGTTAACAGAGGAGGTGATTTGCCACTGCAGGTGAGTTGAAGGGGTGATTTGCACGTGAAGTGGGTTGAGGGGGTGATTTGCCACCAGTGGTTGAGTTGAGGGGGTGATCTGCACCTTTTGCCAAATAAAATCTTGTCCACGTGGATAGTTGTGATTCGTCTTGCGAAAATGTAATCACAATTTTAATCTTTAACAGCTTTTATATGGATAAATTTTTTATATTATTTTTTTTTTGAACATATTTTACAAGGGACGGGTTTCGAACTCTATCTGGGGAAGGAATGCACCGGTGACTAATGCCACTAAGCTTCAAGGGCAAGGTGAAAATTTTTTATATTAATTAAAATAAAAAAAAAAACAAAAATTGACATTAATTTTATCATTAATATTGTATATATTGTTTGAATTAAATGATTGACTAAATAAAATGTTAAATTTTATTTTTTCAAGGATAATTAATGCTGAAAAGTTACTCTTAACATATACCTTAAAAATAAAAGGTTAAAAAAACCTTAAAAATATTATAAAATATATAATTATTTAAATAAATAATAATTTTTATTTTTTAATAATAATTAATGAAAAAAATATATAATAACTATATCTTTATTTTTTTTTTGTATGAACTTCTCGGTATCTGATAATCACATTGGATCTCAATTAATTTGAAATCGAGTCGCATTGAACCTCATTTGGGACGAAACTCTCCCAATACCTATTTCTCCACTCAAAAAATTTGAATTCTAAATTTTATTTAAAGAAAATCAAACTCTTTCTAACCGAATTAATAAATATTTGATATATCTTTAACTTTTTTTTTTATAATAAAAGTTAAAAGAAATTCTTATTTAATTTAACATTTCAGCCGGTAGCTGTGCTTCCACTGCACCGACATGAAGCCTGGACAGGGGAAATGAACACGTGGCAAAAAAATGATGGGTTGGAACCTGATAATGTGGATAATAATTAGGCTTAGTACAATGATTAGGCTTTCTTATTAATAAAAAAAATAAAATTTATTTAATTTAAATTTTTTAGAAAACAAGTTAGAATGTAATTAATAAATTTTTTATATTATTTTTTTTTTGAACATATTTTACAAGGGACGGGTTTCGAACTCTATCTGGGGAAGGAATGCACCGGTGACTAATGCCACTAAGCTTCAAGGGCAAGGTGAAAATTTTTTATATTAATTAAAATAAAAAAAAAAACAAAAATTGACATTAATTTTATCATTAATATTGTATATATTGTTTGAATTAAATGATTGACTAAATAAAATGTTAAATTTTATTTTTTCAAGGATAATTAATGCTGAAAAGTTACTCTTAACATATACCTTAAAAATAAAAGGTTAAAAAAACCTTAAAAATATTATAATTATAATATTTTATAATATTTTAATTTTATAATTTAAATATATAATTATATAATTAACTTTTATGTATAATTTTATTTATAATATTATATATATTTATATCATATAATATTAAATTTATTTAATTTCACATTATAATTATAATATTATTTTTTTATGTACTCAAATAAGCATAAAACCTGTGAGAAAAAGGAGAATGAGAAGGAAAAGTATACTTGTTATAATAGTGTTAAAACGTAGAAGTCTTTAATTTATATTTGTGAGAAAACCACTTCAATCACTTCAATTACTACGGTAAAACTCTACCAACATTAGGCTTAATAATCCAAGAATTTGTGGATAACTAAAATTGCAGCTTGTTCATTATTGACAATACTTAGTCAAAATAAAATAAAATTATTCAGGAACAAGTCTCGCAAACATTTAATTTTGTGATTAAATAGAATTTAAACTTTTGAATGATTTGAAATTTGAGCGAGCAAGTTCTATGAGACTGAAATCCGAGTTAATAAAATCATAGTGAGATGCATTTTCAGCTCTTGAAATTCTTTTCAGAGAGTGTTATTGAGTAAATCAATGTTATTTTTAATCTTACAAATATTTCGATTAACCTCTGCATAAATTCCCCAATTCATACACTTGACCCATATATATGACTTCTAATTTGAAATTTCCCAATTCATTCACCTAAGTTGTATGTGCAAGCTCCAAAAAATCATTTTAGGAAAAGAGAATAATTTTTTATACATCTTGTTATGCATAATTAAATAAGAAATAATTATCTCTTAATCCTTTCTTCACCATTCTAATTAAATTCAAATTTCACAGTATATTTGGTTTAAGGGGAGAAAATAAGAAAGGAGGAGAGGAAAAAAATTTTTTAATTTGGTTATCAAAAAAATTGAGGGAAATGAGAGGGGAAATTTTCCTTTCTTTTATTTTTTATTTTTATTTTTTTAATCTTAGTTGTACAATGAGAGACAATCATTTTTCATCTTTTATCCCATCCCACCTGCATATCATGTGACTCGAACTCCATATTTCATACTTTCAACAAAATGAAATAATTACTGAGTTATTTAAGTCGTTAACTTTATTTTTTTTAATTTAATTATTTATCCAAATAAAGGAAGAGGATGAGAGAGGAATGGAGAGGAATTGAAGAATATAATTTCTCTCTCCTCTCTTCTTCTTCCCTTCATTCTCCTCAACCCAAATATAAGATAAAGACTTTCAATATGAAAGTTGAGTTCTTAATCACTCAAAAGTCCTTAATACAATCGTACATTAATTATTTAGTCAAATAATTGGTACACAATTTATTTTACATATTTTTTGACATTCGTTTTTATTTATTTATTAAAATATAAAATAAATATAATGTGCATCCAATGTGCATGGCTGCATTTTTAAGTTTGTTTATCTTTAATTTTAAATAAAAAATAATAATTTGTTTAATAAACATGTTATATACTATATTAAATTAAAATATACCAGTCAATATCTCATTATATATAGGATAAGTTTGTATTTGGGTAGTTAAATTTGGTTTATTTATTTTTGAACCTCCATAAAATAAATTGGATTTTATGTCGTATATACTACAGAAAGAAAAAAAAGAAGTTATGCATTCATATTGTTTGGAGGCATTATGATTCTAGGCTAATCATGCTGCCAACTGATTTATGATCATTTGGACAGTAATTGATTAGGTTGATGATGAATACCCATTGATTTGATTACTGTGTATATATTATGAGTGGTTAGGAAATAAGTCTCTTTCGTACTTGGGCACATGCTGGAGACATGCCTAAAACATCTTCGTCTATCTTCATATATTCAAATATCAAATCACCTGGATAAGGTTCAAATATCTAAAACATCATATATATATATATATATATATGAGTTAGTGTTTGTTTGTCTTATCTTTAAAAAGTTTTTAAGAAAAAAAATAAAAAAAATACCTTAATTTATGTTTTAAAAGATGATATTTTAGTTTTTTCAATAAATGTTCATTGAAATGACATAATTTTAAATTAATATTTTTTTTAATTTTTAAGAAATAGGGCGAATAAGCATTATTATCATATATGTATATATAAATATATATATTCAAATATTGAATTACCTAGATGAGCTTGAATTTGTGAGGTGAATAAAGCTTTCACCAAGCAGTGGTTAAACTGAAGGTTCTAACAACCTTTTATATGAGCCATGTGCATGTTTAGTCAAATGCTTTTTTTTTTTTTTTTGACAAAAAAAACTGTACTCTTAGGCTTTATTCATATATGTTGAAAAAAAATAGGCCAAACCTAACTTAATAAATTGAAAGTGCATTTCACCTACTTTTCAGATGTGGTTGCCACACGATGGAATACCTAGTCAAATGTTACTTTAGTTTCGTTCAACGATTGATTTATACTGTGAGTTTGTAGTGCCCTAATTGATTGGTATTAACTTAATTGATATTATATTAAATTGAATAGTGAAATTTGTAGAAATGTTGCTTTTGTATGATTCCTAGGGAAAACTATTTCTATCTCCGTCTACTTTTCCTAGTAGTTAAACAGTTTAGTAATATATTCCTTTTAATGATAACAAAATGTTATAAAATTAAATTATATAAAATAGATATGAGATAAGTTAAGGAATAACAAAAATTTATTTTTTATTACATAATTTAAGATTAAAAAAAACTTTCTTTCACGGTTAATTATCAATTATTATAAAGGGGTGACTAAATATTTTTAATTCAAAAAGAAAAGGTAAAAATGAATTTTTATGAACTAATCAAACAACAAAAAGGAGAAAGCCAAAAATAACAATAATAATAATAATAATTATTATTATTATTATAATAACAAGAGGAAGGGAGATAAGGAGAGAGAAATGGAACAAAATTTCCCTGACTAGTACCTCTGCCATGGACAGAGTTACAGAGGTAGTATTTTTCTATCCCTAAATATTCTTTTTCTCTTTTTTTTACAATAATAAATATTTTTAAATTTTATTAAAAATAAATAAAAAAATACTTTTTATGATAAAATAAATAATTAAAATTAAAAAATAATAATTAATTTAACACAAATTTTAAATAAAAAAAAATATTTATCATTTTAAGAAGGATGAAGTACCATATAGCTTTATAGATATTACAAAACTTTTTTTATTTTGTTACTAAACTATTGACAAAAATAGATAAATAACAAAAGTCACCAATTAAATTATTAGTAAAATAGTATTTCTTATCATTCATATAATTAGGGTTGGAACGGTTCATTCTCCTTTCACATCCCTCTTCCTCTTAAGAGTTTTAATTAGTTAGTTTATTTTAGAAAAACAAAAATAGAACATTAAAATATTCATTAGAGAGACCAATGATTAGAAAAATGGCAACATCCATGGAAATAACAAATAACTGAAAACTTCTTACTTCTTCCAAAGAATCTTCCAAGTTATCGGTAACACTATCAAAGTCAGTGCAAATACTAATAGGAACTAAGCTACATACATACCCATGAAGAATCATATATATTAATAATTTCTGATTTAATAATATAATTAAAATAATAAATTTATCCTTTAAGATGCCATTATATATAACTTAATTAAACTCCAATCAATAAAGTGTTTCAACATGTAAGAATTTAAAAAATTGGCAAAAATCCTTCTTAAGCCTCCAAACTTATTTCAAAATAGAATTTAAACCCTTAAACTAAAAATGAAACAGATAAGTCCTCTAATTCCATTACTAATGCAAATAAGTTTTTCTCACAAATGAGCCAAATTGTATTTCATGTTTAATATCACTTTGAAAGCATGAACACTGATGAATAAGAAGGGTTTATTGGCATTATTAGTAGAGTTATAGGACTTATTTGTTTCATTTTTAGTTCAGGAGTTTACATGCTATTTTAGGCTACGTATGAGGGCTTAAGAAGGGTTTTCGCCTTTAAAATTTTAATTTAAAAATCTTTGATTAAGAACTGGATATGATAGAAAGTGATTTAAGAAATAATTAAAATGGTTATCACCAATGTATATTTCATTATTAGATGCAGATGAAAGATAATATAAGTAAGAATTGAAACACACATAGGGATGGATGGAAGTTGCAACCAACTACTGTGTAGGTGTGATGTGTGAAGTGGTTGATGCTGGTTGTTTTATATTTTATAATTACCAATGGGCCTAACAATTCATAATTTTATTAAAATAATGTTCTTGTCAAATAATTGCAATGGGATCAGTGGCATGGATATGATTTAATATTTTGGTTGTTGAAGGATCTAGATTGCCTGCAAGGCATAGAATAATCCTTGGGATATACAGTACATTTTAAGTGCTGCTCCCAATGATTCTGACACTCATTATCATTTTTAATTTTCTTAACATCAATATAATTATTTTTTTAATAAAATTATGATTTCAAAAACACAATTATTTACACTAGGGCTTGTAGCTCGATTGCTCTAAATCACATTAAAAGTTCATCCTTTAGTATTTAGATTGAGTTCGAATCTCTCACTCTTAGTATAATTCATTCAAAGTTTAAAAAAAAAAAAAACACAATCATTTACATAAAATCATAATTACTTCTTCTTAATTAATATATATAATAGAAACTTATTTACATATAAATTTTATATATTATATTCATATAAAATTTTAATTATTTATTTTTTACTTTCACTAATTAAAATTTATTTATATTATTAAAAATAATTATTTTTATTTAAAAAATTATGATAAAATTCAATAATTAAAT